GGGAGGATGGGTTAGCCCGGTGATGGGTATTAAGGAGGGCACATACTGCATGGAGCACTGGGTGTTATACACAAACAATGAATCATGGAACACCACATCAAAAACTAATGATGTAATGTATGGGGATTAACACAACAATAAAAAATTAAAAAAAAAATAAAGCTAGAACAATCTGATGACAAAAAAAAAAAATGATGATGAAATCAGTAATGCAAAAATAGAGCTGTTTTCCAACACTGAAGATGCATTTGCCCTGATCCTTCCAGTGTCTCCTAAAACCATCTCTGAGACAAGAGAGAACGTGAATAAATGGCTGATTCAGGGTGCAGTCTATGATAATGGAAGGAAGCGAAGCCAAATGAATCGGATTATACCTCTGTAATACAGAGATGAGACATACACAGGTGAGACAATCTCATGGTCAAGGACTCTACCTAACACATCTTTTATGTACCCTTACAGTATGAGACACTTAATAAATGCTTTCTAAGATGGAACTTTTTCTTTATACAAATATTGATCTCTCCTTAATAGAGGATACAAATCCCTTTAGTGTTCCTGCATCTATTGCATCAAAATTAGGTCTACAGGGCACATGGATGGCTCAATTGGTTAAGCGTCTGCCGTTGGCTCAGGTCATGATCTCAGGGTCCTGGGATGGAGCCCCACATCGGGCTCCCTGCTCAGCAGGGAGTCTGCTTCTCCTTCTCCCTCTGCCCCTCCCCCTGTTTGTGCTCTCTCTCTTGCTCACACTCTGTCTCAAATAAATAAATAAAAATCTTAAAAAAGAAAAAAGATTAGGTCCACAAAAAATAAGATAATGAAACTAAGATTCTAGAAGTTCAACACTAATTTAAGGTCGGCTTGCTCCATGACGTAAGAATAATTTCATCTCCGAGAACTGATTTCAAATGGCTAAAGCGTCTATAAAAGCAGTGTTTAACTGGTAAAACATTATAAATATCACATAAAATATTTATGACTTAACTCATAAAGATAACGTTAAAAATAATTCTAAAGAGCCGGCAATTTCATTATAATCACAACTTTTTAAAAAAAGAGATTTTTATTAAGCTTTTACAGCACTATTCCAGAGCTACTTGAGGAGGAGGGATAAGTAGCAGACAGGTTGTTATCTTACTTCCTAACGTCACAGCTGGGAAGGAGAGTGTTCTCTACTGAATGTGAGTAAAACTTTCCGTGCGATTACAGACATCTTCCAGGACAACCCCAGGTCAGTGGTTAAAGCAGAATCAAATTCCTTTCCAACAAGCCCTGCTTTCAGCCTTACTTCTCTGAGCTGGCAGCTTAGATAACCTGGATGGGAAACAACCCCATGCTAGGAGTCCAATACTTTGATTAACTTATGGCAACTCCCTCAATTGCCCTTTTTTATGTTCCTTGGTAATGACCTCACCTTTCAGAGACTTAGGGGAAAGCATACTAGTGGTCGGGATGTAAAAGTACTGTATCCCCCCCCTTATCTGTCTGCTTTAGGCAATGCCTGTGTGGCCTACCTGCCCTGGTACTCAGGAGAAAAATAAAAACGGGCTGCTGTCCGAAGTTCTTAATGGCCAGGTGTCTCTCTTCTCCTCTCACAGACCCATCCACACGCTCGTAGCTGTACCCTTCACACACAGAAAGAAAACAGACACAGAAACCCTTTCACATATTCTTTGAGGAATAAAACTCTGTCGGCTCAAAACCAAATGCTAATTTTGTCCCTTTTTGTATACAGGTATGCCTCTACTTGAAGCAAATCCCATGGGAAAAATCTAAATTTAGGTGACATTTCATTGTTTTACACAAGAACTCAACATAATATACCTCTCTGGGATTTTTAAATACATGCAGTTGATGTATTTGGCGTTTGTGGAGTTAATAGTCAATTCTGACTATCCCAACCCCGAAGCACACTGTGAACCACACTGTGTGGTAGTTTCCAATTCTGCCGCGACAGAATTCTTACTAATGCAAGCAGTAAGACAAGCACTGAGGAGCTGGTGAGTGAGCCTGCCCAATGGCCCAGCAGCTGCCTTTCAATGAAGCTTCAGGTTCACCCATCACCACAGACCCCTGTCGGGAAAGGGAATTATATGCTCAAGCCCTGTTTGTGAATCTGGGGATCCCCCAACATGCCAATGGCATTTTCTACAAGTGTCCAATGGACCAGGTACTGTACTGTAGTACTTAGGGGGCATCGAGTGGCTCTGAGAGACCTACTCTGAATTCGTATTTTAAACAGTAAGGTCTGAAGCTGATGCTCCCTCACCACTGATTTCAAGATCAGTCAGTGTTACAGCCTTTTCCCATCATCCCACATACATTTTATTATATATTAAACAGAATCCCCAGGTAATAACTTACATTCCCTATTGTTTATATAGAAAAAACATTCCTTTCCCTTGGTTGATACATGGGATCTCTATAATTTCATCTTTTCTACTGATCCTGAGTAAGTGCTCAACAGTTGAATTGAGTATTGCAAGACACCGAAAGCTCGTTTTTTAGCAAACATTTTCAAAAACACTCAACATTTCTGCAACTCGGATTTTTTTTCCAGTATCCACAATTTTAAATCACATCGCCAGTGGGAATGTGTGTGCTTATTTCTGCCCATGTGTCTCCACCCGGCTATCAATCCTTGTGTAACACATCTCTCTCCTTACTTTCAATCTTCCTTTGGTTCAGAATAATGTTCTTTCACTGCTTTCCTCTGTAACATCCCCACCCCCCAGATTACTCTTCATGGACCTACTAGACTGTTAAGTCTAGAAAAGGCTTAAGCAATGTAGTGGCCAAGGAACGTCACCTCTATAGTCCATGTAGTCTTGGAGAATATCCAACATCTGGGTCATCTGGGAGAAAAGTAAAACTCGATGGCCCCTGGCAAGAAAGAGAAAAGGAAAGGCTACCAACTCTTACGTTTCCCTGAGGGAAACTTACCAAAGAATACAAGTTTATAAATAAATGAAATACCGAAGCAGAAATACAAATACCATAATCATTTACAGAGACTTCCTCAGAAATGCTAAAAGTTCCACATAAATAACTCCACACGTAGCCATATTCTGCAGAGCTGAAGTTCTCAAACTATAGATACTCCCAGGAGCAAATGCACCAGGGGGTACAAAAAGCCCCAGGATAACCAAAGCACGTCTTTCTGGAATGTCAATTTACATTCCAATTTAATGGAAAGAAATAAACGCTTTCATTCGAACAGCTAAATAAATAAAGGTATGTGAAGAATAAAATGTAAAAGTCAAACGCACAAAACCCAACTGGAAATCCTGAAGAACTTGTCATCAGCCATCTATAGCCATTCTCTGCTTGCAGGTGTAAAATCACTATCCTCTCATCTACAGCTGTATTGGCTGAAAAGTCTGAGAAGTATCACTTTACTTTAGAGAAGGGGCAGGTGGCATCTCATATCCCATAGGACACATTAAAAAACTTATGTATAGGGAGAGGAAGGGAAAGGAGGAGGCAAAACGAATTAAGTCAAGAATGAAGATGAGCCTACAGTCCCATGTTATCAGGTATTACTTTAAGTTTTCACAAAGAAAAGAAATATGACACTGTCAAAACAAAAGTCTTGTTAGGAAAACTAATTTAATCTGAGCTTGCGATGTGTGTAAAGGAACAATCATGAAGAACTCCTTCAAGACTAGCCCCAAACGTGTGGAAAAGGCATTGAACTTGAGGACCTCAATTCTAATCCCATCTCTGTCATTTGCTGGCTGTGTGACTTTAGACAGGTCACATGACCACTCTGGGCCTGTTTCATCACCTGTGAAATGAAAAGGTTGGACAGAAAATGTTTATGGGTCCTCCTCTACCTCTAACACACTTATACTAGATATATCAGAGCCAATAAAATACATGAAGACATGCAATTATTTGGTTTGCACCTTCCTAATGTTGGGTGGTTTTGCCAAACCTGAGGTTTTATGGTTAGTTCAGGCTCACTTGGGACAGCTGTCCCAAAGGGACAACTTTGAGACTCTTAGGAAGCTGGGCTTTTTCTAGACTTCTCTGTCCCTCTGGGGTCCAGGAGGATCAGGTAGAGGCTGGATACCAGGCCACTGAACACTTAGCTGAACCTTTTAAGGCTCCAAGAGTGACTTGGTCTTCAGCTACCCAGGCCATGTCTCTGGGAAAGAGTCCTGCAAATTCTCTCTGAACCAAACCCTACAGGGGTTAACAAAGGTGCATATTTACTAAGCCCTCATTAAGTGCCAATTCTGCAAGGTACCAGCAGGCAATTAAAAAATAAATGTTTGATGATATCTCTGTCTGTGGAACTAAACAATACAGCTGGAGTAGTAAGATTACTGCACATCAATTAAACAGAGAGCAGATTAAGGCAGTGCATTACCAAGTGCTGGATTAGGATCCTAGGTGCTGCAGGAATTCAGGAAAGGGAAGGATGATTATGGAGGGGATGGGATGGGATGCAATGGGGTGTAGGTGTAGTTGCAGAGAAGGTGGAACCAGAATCAAGGTCTTGAAAAAAAGAAAACTTGGAATTAGTCTCAAGAAATCAGTGAATTGGGGAGCCTGTGTGACTCAGTTGGTTAAGCGTCTACCTTTGGCTCAGGTCATGATCCTGGAGTCCTGGGATCAAACCCCGCATTGGGCTCCCTGCTCAGGGAGGAACCTGCTTCTCCCCCCACCCCCCACTCATGCTCTCTCTTGCTATCTCTCTCTCTCAAATAAATAAATAAAATCTTTTAAAAAAAAAGAAAGAAAGAAGGAAAGAAAGAAAGAAGTCAGTGAATCATCTGGTTTTAAAAATTACCAGCTCAGAGCAGAAAATGTAAACTGACCACCTACCTGGAATACAGGAATGCAAGCAGCTTATCCAGTAGATGAAGTTTCCCACTGGCCTCAATCAGGTGGTCTCCAATTTCAAAAGGCTCTGGTTCCACACCTGAAAAATAAGGAACCTATTCCCAATGAAGTGTCCCCTGGTCATGGCAGACTTCTTAAGTAGAGAAGCTGATAGTGAGGCTAAGCAAGAGGCTAAGCTCCTTCTAACTGAAAATGGGCCCAAGTCTCATCTCTCTTTGAGACGTTTTATAATTATTTGTTTGTATGATAATCTTGGTGCTGCTTAACATCAATCACAGAGCCTAACACCCCCAACATGGTTAATAAATGTCCATCCAAGGAACAAGCCCACTCTTTAGGAAAGGGAGGCACAAGGACATGCTAACGGCCAGAGAACTGAAAATCTGAGACTCTCACTCAGGAAAACAAATCAAGAAATAACGCTTAGATGTATAAATGAGTAATTCTCAAGGCGGGGAATGGCAGTCAGAATAACCCAGAGGGCTTCTTTCAAAATCTCCATGTTCCCAATGCCCCCTGCCTTAAGAAAAGATTCTGAAATGCACTTAATTAATATTCTGTGACATTTAAAACAATTCATAGTGCTACTTGCAAATACGCCCTTAAAATGACACCAGCAAATCCTCCACACTGATCCTACCCATTCCAGTGCCCCCATGGCCACATAAGTCCTAGAAGTGTCCCAAAGGCTACCTATTAGAGTGAATCAAAAAAGCCCTTGTTTGAATTAAAATGAAAATACTACATATTGAAATGTGCGGTATTTAGCTAAAGCAGCACTTAGAGGGAAATTTGCAGACATCTCTAAGATGGAGGGGAAGCAGCAAAGGAGGCTGAGAAAGAGCAGAGGTAGGGAAATGGAGATGCAAGAGAAAGCGCTGTTCCAGGAGCCAAAGGAAGAAAGTGTTTCAAGAAAGAAGTGATCAACTGTGTCAAAGGTTTTGAGAGGTTAATTAAAATGTGAACTGACAACCACCGGAGATCACTGGTAAACTTGCAAAGTTGAAGGGCGGTAATGAAAGGCCGACAGCGGAATGGGTTTAAGACAATGGGACATCTAGGATGGCTCAGTCAAGGTTGAGCATCTGACTCCTGATCTCAGCTCAGGTCTTGATCTCAGGGTCGTGAGTTCAAGCCCTGCATTTGGGCTCCATGCCCAGTCCAGCATGGAGCCCACTTAAAAAAAAAAAAAGACAATGGGACATCTAATCACAAAGAAATGATCCCTAAATCCAGATTATGAGACAACCCATAAAACAACCAGCACTGAGATTCTTCAAAACTGTAATTTCAGGCAAGACCAAAAAAAAAAAAAAAAAACCAACCAAACAAACAAACAAAAAAGCTGAGGAATGTTTCTGGATTATAGGAGAATAAAGAGACAGACAAATATAATTCAGATCTATGACTCGACTTTGAATTTTAAAAGAAGAAAGTCAAAAAGCCATAAGGGACATTAAGGGAACAACTGAAAAAAGTTGAATATGAACGATATATTAGATTACATCAACAGGAAAAAATTAACAAAAGAAAATGGAGGAACAAACTAGACAGTAAATACAGGCAATTCTTTTGAAGAATTTTGTGATGATGTTGGCCACAGAAATGTTCATGAAAAGCAACGTGAGAAAAAAGGGCATTGTCTCACCATCAAACAGATATGGGTGATCCACACACTTTCGAAGCTGGGACAAGACGTTCTGAAGTTTAACTTTCTTTGCCATCTCATTTTCAAATGCATCTGAAAACAGCAACAGAGAAAGACAGAGAGAGAGATATGGACTACTGAACAAAAACAAAAAAACCAAACAAAAACTCTAAGTTAACCTTACTTATTCAGTAATATATCTCTCAAACCTATATTAACCTCCTAAATTTCACTGAATTGCATTAAGAATTAACAGCATATCCACATGAAGTTTTCTTAACTATCACTTTGTTTTAAGGAAGCCTAACTATAAAATGAACTCAGGAGTATGTTGTTACTTTTGCACAATTCTAAATTCCCTTCTTTAACTACTGTTGTGGAGCCAAGGGATAAAATAACACAAAGTGACAGACTGTTCTACTCCTCTCTCTCTGTTCCCACTCCTAATTCCTCTCAGTGAACGCAGTCCAACAAAAAAGCTTTGCAATGTGTTAAATATCTGACAGGGTGGAAAGATGAAAGGCATGACTGGCATACCTAGAAGTGTTTGCTTAACTAACCTCTATGCAGTAAGGACAACTGGTGGGGGACAGGGGGAGAGAAAAGGAAATTTCACAAGTGCAACAACCAATAAAGTCTGCATTACAGTAAAGATACCCCGCATGGTTTCACTGTGGCTGACCTGAACATTATTCAGGATACAAAATTCCATCCCATATTACTATACAAAGCAAGTGTGATAATAAGATATTTACTCACCTAGTACACATATACCCACTAGTAGGCATGCCTAGCATTTATTTTGAACAATCATCCTGGGATAATAATAAAATCACATCCTCATTTAGTTTCTAAGCAGTCAAGTGCCCTCTGATTACCTAGGTCTTTCATCAAAATGGCCTTGTAGTATTTTTTCTGCAATGCTGACATGCCGTGGTATATCACTACCTCTGTCTTCTTGGGAAGTTCTGTAGCTACCTCAGCTTTCACCCGCCTCAACAGAAATGGCTGCAAGAGTTTGTGTAGTTCACTTGCTGTGTAAGAAAAACAAAAACAAAAACAAACCAACAACACAAGAAGAGTAGGATGAAATTTTCATGCCAGTTACACATGCTAGACCAGTATGGTTATTTTTCACAGTACAGGTGAACCTTGAACAACATGGGTTTGAACTGCGCAGGTTGACTTAAATGCAGATTCTTTTTTTTTTTTAATAAATATAGTACTGTAAGTGTATTTTCTCTTCCTTAGGATTTTCCTAACATTTTCTTTCCTCTGGCCCCTTGACTGTCAAGAATACAGCATAACACATCTAACACACAAAATATGTGGTCATTGACTGTTTACATTACCAGTAAGGCATCCAGTCAACAGCAGGCTATTAGTAGTTAAGTTTGGGAAGTCAAAAGTTATAGCAGATTTTTGACTGTGTGTGGGCCGTCAACACCCCTAACCCCTGGTTGAAGGGCCAACCATGTTTCTTCCTTCATTGGGTTCTTTTTCCCAACTCCTTCTGAAATTGTTACTGGCTCTCAACTCAAGAACTAGGAACACTTCAAAGAACTGGATTTTTATTAATAATCTCATTTGCATGGAGTTTTACTATTTCCAGGATACTTCTGCACTTAATCTGATTAACCAGCATAGCAGCTCAGAAGTAGAGGGCCAAGTAATATTGTCCCCATTTTCATAGCTAAGTTAAGCACACTTTATCCAAAGTCACACAGCTGGAGGGTAATGTTGCTATTATTCAAACTCAGTTCTTTTCAGTTCAACTCCCTTGTTCCTTCCCCAGGTATCATGAACTTCAAAAACTAGCCTGAACTGGAATTCCACTGCGTGTTAGGTTGCCAGGTACAGCAAATAAAAATACAAGAATGCAGTGAAATATAAATTCCACATAAGCAACAAATAATTTTGTAATAGGAGTACGTCCCATGTAGTATCTGACTGGGTGTCATATATTTTATCTGGCAACCCTAAATATGGAGGCAATCAGAGGAGGTTCCCCTGGTAATCTTCAGCTTATGGTATGGGCATTTTTGCTGTGAGAAGCCCTTCCAACTCATACTCACCTAGTATACATATCCCCACTAGTCGGCATGCCTAGCACTTATTTTGAACCATCATCCTGGGATAACAGTATGGGGATAGACAGGTTATTCTACAAGGCAGTGGGGCAAAGGTGCAGAAGGAAGAAGACTGCAACTGGCAGCTGTATAAAGGAGGATGGCTCCCCTCCTTTGCTCCCACCACTGACTCATCCCAGACTCTTGGTTTTGGTGCACTGTTGACAGAAACACCAGTGCCATGTGTGGAATGTTGAGGAGTGGTTTGGGACTATAGTACCCACATACGTTTCTGCCTCAGGAAATAGCACAGAAAGTTAACCAGTTACAAAAGTATATTATATAAGTTACGTGGTGGGGGGAGGGGGCGGGGGAGAAGCAGATTCTTTCTACTTCTTCCAAAAATGATCCATTAAGTCCTATTGTAGAATTGTATAACAAATGAGAATCACGAATAGCAGACAACTGGGAACAACCTGAGGGATCTAGCATCACCTCAGCTTTGTGTGGCTCTTTATCTCCCTAGAAGGTGCCCTCCAGTTATCAATTCTCTTTCTTTTCTACCTATAACCCCATATCTGTTATACACCAGGGAAGTTTCTGGGCCCAGACTTCTTGGCATGATTTCAAGGAAGGGAACTTGCCTGACTCAGACTCCTTCTCAACATCCTGGTAATGCTGAACAAAATCTCCCACCTGCTCCTTGGGAAAGAGATCAGGCTCCACAAAACTGAGGAGAGAGTAGAGCTCTTGGAGGCTGTTCTGGATGGGAGTTCCGGTCAACAGGAGATTGAAGACTACTGAGAACTCAAATACATAAATAAGTAAAGTAAAAAATCTATAACCTTGGAAAGCAAGACCAAGTTCCCCATCACAACCTTTACCTGTACAAAGAGGGGCATAATTTAATGGGATGACCACAAGGACATGAAACCAGAAGACTCGGTTCAAGCTGTATACTAGAGATTTGATGTAGGAAATAATACCTCTTCAGTTGTAAGAAGGGGACAAATATCCTGTGAAGGAGATACTGTTACAAGGAGGTTAAGTAAAATCACTGTGTGAACTCTGAAGGACTACATGAGTATTTGATATGGTTATTGTTACTCAATCTTAGTGGGGATTCAAGCTGTATTTATTACCCACATGGGTGAGTCTACTGAGGCATCAGAGGCACATGGTATCTACTCAAGCAGTTTGAAAAAGCTATAGCATCAGCCCCACCACTATAAGCAAGAAGCAAGAAGATCTACACTAAAAGAATGTACAACTTTAGGGTGTATCACACCCAAAACATCAAGACTTCTGGATGTTTCTGGGCCTTATACAGCCCAAAATGAAAGAAATTCTTTAAATTTTGAGCAACAAGTAAGAACAAGAAGAATAAGAGACTAATGAAATAAAAGGTTAGGAAAGACAGTAACAGATATTAGGTTACGCGAAGGACAACCTCTAAACTGACATTAATAAGAACTAATGCCATTTGAGTTAAAGAATGCAGCAAAAACGGAAAGCCATATCCCATGTATGTTATTTGAAATACTGAAATACAGTATGATACATATATACACATATGTATACATACACACACCTTATTTTAAATATAAAAATGCACTATATTTTGGTTTCTAAAATAATATATATGCATATTTATGTGTTTGGGTATTCACCCGCACAGCAAAGGATATGGCAGCTGATATACCAAATGTTAATGTATGCACGGGAATAAGATTATTGATGGTTTTTATGTTTATTCTTGTGTTTCTATATTTTGATTTGGAGGGGGTCATAAGAAGATACTGATTTCGTAGTCAGAAAAGGTAACAGATGCAATGACACAATTAAAACTGATTTGAAAATGATATATTACTATTTTTTTTGCAATCTCCTTTTTTTGTTTTCTTTTAAATTGTTTAATCAATGTCCACCCACTCATGCCTGCTCTGCTGATAGGGCAATGTTTTCACAGAATTTAAGTATGGGAACTGGTCAGAAATAAATGCTTTCAACAGCCAATTCACCTTTTTACAATGTGTTCACCAAGCAAAGAGCTGGGGTGACCAAAGAATATGAAGTCAAAAAGATAACCAGGATTGTTGGTCACTACAGTCAACTTATACGGTCACATGAGCTAATGTATTTATTCACAGTAGTGTCCATTTAGTATCAAAACTTATAACTGGGTGAAAAAAAATCAAGTGACAATCTCTTTGTATACAGTATTTTTAAAACTTCTTTTTGTGTACGATACTTTGCAAACATTTCCCACGTTGTTAAATATTCTTCTACATAATTTTTCATGGCAGCCTTACTTTGTCAAGGTACTATACTTACTTTGTGAACTGCATAACCAACTCCCTATGTTTCACTACAAATTGCTTCCAACTTTTACAAACAAGCTGAAAACAATATTATAAAGGGGAAAAAAAGGTACTACCCTTTTCCCCACCTCTATCAATAAATACATTTCTTTCCAACCAACAAGTTGTCTGCAATTCAAACCCCAGTTCATGCTTAGATGACACAGAAATTCCTCACATAATCCCTCTGAGACTTAGTTTCCTTATGAATAACAAGGATAGACTCTGGGACCCGCAACAGAACTTAGCCACTCCAAACCCTGGGGTTCCTTTACTACACCTGCTTCTCTTCTCCCATTATCCATTAGTAAACTGGCATGGTAGTTTAGGGTTAGGTGCCAGAATATGACAACCTCTTGGGAAAAAGATACTGTTAAGAGTCCCTAAAAGAGGCAAAAGACATCATAGAGTGGAGGGGGCCCTCCAGGGTATAGCAATCTTTGAGACTGGACTAATAATGGACAGTGACCATAGCTGCATTAAAATGCTAAAAACTACAACTTTTAGCCAGTAAATAGAGAATTCAGACCTAAGACTTTCCTGCAAATCACCTCTAAATTTACTAACTCATTTGTTATAGGACATGATGTTATAGGACAGGGACCAAACTTCAGTGATGGCCACAGGAATTCTCATATGTGGTCTCATTTGTAAGGTCAGCAAGGAGAAGGGCACTTCTTACTCACAAGCTGTTCCACTGGCTCCTCAGAAAAGAGGGCAAATCTAGGGCTACACTGACATTTCTCATTTCTCACTGTGCCACAATGGTGCCAGAGATCAAGAGAAGGGAATGAGATCAAGGGTATCACACTCAAAAGTATGACAAAGACAAGAGAGACCAGAGCTAATAGTCAGTGGCATGCAATGGTCTCTTCATTACTCCATGTGAACTATCAAATCCTTAAAAAAGGTAAATGGGGGGGAAGGGTAAAATATGTCAGATGTATCTGCTATTGCAGACAGAAGAGTTATAAGAAGATTATTTTTAAAGAATTACCCCTCTGAAGATCAAAAGAGAGTTGAAACATTTCCAAAAATACAATGTATTTTATTGAGGTAGTGTCTTATTATTCGATACCCAGATTTCAGTAAATGTTATCTTTTACGTAAAAGACGAGAGGAAGAAGTTAGGCCATATTAAGTACTACCTCTGTCACTCACAAAATGTTTATTTAGCCCTATAGAAATCTGACTAAAAAAATGTTTCAACTTAACTCTATACAGGCCCAAGATAGTATTTTTTTTAAAGGAAGTCATACAAAAACTAAGACTATCCTGTGAGTTTACCTCTGAAAGTGTCTTATGCAGCAAGGAGCTTTGGTTTTTCAACCTGTGAGCTTCGTCCACAACAAGAACACTCCAAGGGAAGCTGTGAGAGAAAAGTCCAAGCTTTCAGTTTTGTGTAACCCAAGCATGTATCTCATAGCCAAAAACTCTTACCATACAACCGGCACTAGTGTTGGAAAGACTAATATTAAGCCCATTCTATTAGAAACACACTCAAATTGCCTTTTTTTCTTAAGATTTATTTATTTATTTATTTGAGAGAGAGCACACACATGAGTGGAGGGAAGGGCAGAGAGAAAGAATCTCAAGCAGACTTCCCACTGAGCATGGAGCCCCACACAGAGCTCGATCTCACAACCCTGAGATCATGACCTGAACCGAAATCAAGAGTCGGATGCAACCCAGGCACCCTCAAATTACCTTCTTATCTGAAAGCCTGCCATGTACAAAAGACAACATCTGGATAAGGTACTAAGTTTAAGGGAATTTGTTTTCCAAGATGGGAAAGATCTGTGCATAAAGGCAGAAAGGAAGGAGCTAGAGACAAAAAAGCAAAAGGAAACATTTATGACCACCTACTATGTGCCAGATCCTGCGCTTGGTTGGGGCTTTATGTCTGTTATTTAATCCAAGAGAACATGGTGAGTAGACATTATTCTGCTCATTTTACCACCAAGGAGACTAAAGCTCAGAAAGATTAGGTGACTGGGTCAAGGTCATAAAGCTAGAATGAGGTAGAGCTGAGATTTAAACCCAGAAGAAAAATCAAGAGAAAATGGTGTCACAGTAGCTTAAAAAGTGTTTTAGATTTAAAAATGGGAAAGCAGTGAGCAAGATCAAATGTTATAGACGTTCGGGAAGATACATCCTTTCGATATACCATGGAAGTCACTGGTGGCTGTTGCTAGAGCACAAAAAATTCGAAATATGGAAAAATATGTTATGTATGAATATGTTCCAAGCTGCATTATTTAAAGTAGCAAAAAGCTGAAAATAAATAAGTCCAATTATACATGATGTAATATTATTCAGCATTTTGAGTACTATGATGATTATCTTACAATAAGAAGGCCCATGGTAACTAAAAAATATATAAATATTATGTATCCTCTCAGAAATGAGAAACCATGCAAGAGATAACAAAGTGAAAGTGATAAGATTTTTTAAATTTTTATTTTGAAGTTTTTTTTTTTTTTTTAATTTACTTATTTAACAGAGAAAGAGAGATAGCAAGAGCAGGAACACAAGCATGAAGAGTGGGAGAGGGAGAAGCAGGCTTCCCGTGGAGCAGGGAGCCCAATGTGGGGCTCGATTCCAGGACCCTGGGATCATGACCTGAGCCGAAGGCAGACGCTTAACGACTGAGCCACCCAGGCGCCCCTCAATTTTTATTTTGTTTGCAAACATTCTGTAATCTCATTACATTGTTCTTTTTTTTTTTCTTAAGATTTGAGACAGAGAGAGAGCACGAGAGGGAAGGAAGAAAGTGGGAGAAGCAGACTCCCCACTGAGCAGAGAGCCTGATGTGGGGCTCGATCCCAGGACCCTGAGATCATGCTGAGCCAAAGGCAGATGCTTAACCAACTGAGCCATCTAGGTGCTTATTACATTGTTCTTATACTTAAAAAACTAAATGTATATACAAGGAAGATACACTGGAAAGATAGTGGGTAGGGAAATAAAAATCACTCAAAAATTAGAGAAAGATCTTCAGCAGATGTTGGCCTTACAAGGAAGATGCCCTCTTCCTCTGAGGCTACAGAGAAAATCCAGAAAACAGGTGCAGAAACAGAAACCTAGTACCATCTACCTATTGAGAGCGATGCAGATGGAGGGAGAACTGGGGGTCCAAAGAGAGTAGGAACTGGGATCATTCCTTCTGGGTAGCACTTGGAGGAGATTCATTTAAGGATTACAAGGAGTAACTGTCCAACTGGTGTTGGACAGTGGTCATGAGATAAGGTGGCTAAGTGGCCATAAAATAGCACCTGGCCTGTTCGAATCAGCATTCAAAACAATTTAGGTCCTATTTCCTTGTGAAGAACTGGGTATTAAAGTCTTACAAAGAGCAAGCACACGGTAAAAGCTTATCAGTGAAGCAGCCTACAGGGAGATGGATGTGGGCTCGGTGAAAGGAAGGAGGTCAAATCACTCATCAAAGAACACCAAAGTACACCAAAGGATGCCCCCTGGAGGGGAAGAGGTGGAGTGAATTTCAGCACTGAATGGAGAGTGGGATGAGGGAACTTCTAACCCTCTCGACCTGAAGATTTCATAGGTCTGTTATCAAAAAAAATTTTTCGTATTTTTCATATTGGTATGTACACCATCTTAATTCCCCACAAAACCTCTTTAGGACAGGTATTGCATTACCCTTTCTGGCTCTTCTCAGTGGTGATCTAGTAATACACAAAATAACCTTGTCACGTCTATCAAAACAATAAATCTGTACCCCTGGGGTTCATACTGTTAGCCAACATTATAAATGCCCCCTTATTACTTAGGTTCTTAAATTCACATGGGATGGACTTAAGATGGATGATTTAATATAAAAAGATTGTATTTCTGATGAATAATGTGAAACTCCAGTGCACTTAGATAATTTGAGAAGCTGTCCCTGGGGTTTGTTTTGTTTTGTTTTTTTCTGGAATTAGTATCAGATGTATGTATGTATGTTTGTTTGTTTGTTTGTTTACTGAGAAGCTCTCTTAAAGTTTCCACAGCAATGCATGCTATATTTGGATATCTGCTTTGCCATTATTAGCAATGTAGCCTTGGCTGGGTTACCTAATCTGTTACTTTCCTCCTCCAAAACATGAACAATAAATAATACCTGCCTACTAGGGTTTTCATGAAGATTACGTAGGATAATTTAAGTACCCAAAAACATTTATGTCCCAATCTTCTAGCCTTTTGAGACTTCCCACATTCTGCCTTGTATTACGGATATCCAAATACTGCCTCTCCCTCTACTGGAGTCTACATCTTCTTAGGGAGCTCTAGAGTTTACTTTCCTGGCACTGCTGGTAACTCCCAAACAGTGTTTTTCCAAAGAAAAGATCTTCAACAAGTATTAGTTGGATATTAATAATAAAAAAAGATAGAGGGAAAGCATATTTTCTTCTTAAGAAGAGTAAGATAACGTGCTCACTTAAATGAAACTTAAGTGAACCAAAATATGGGATGGAAGTCATGAAATTTATGTCTGGGCCTTTAGTATCTCAAAATAAGATGAAAACAGGGGCGCCTGGGTGGCTCAGTCCGTTGGGCGGCTGCCTTTGGCTCAGGTCGTGATCCTGGGGTCTTGGGATCGAGCCCCGCGTCCGGCTCCCTGCTCAGTGGAGAGCCTGTTTCTCCCTCTCCATCTGCCTGCCACTCTGCCTACTTGTGCTCTCTCTCTCTCTGTCAAGTAAATAAATAAAATCTTAAAAAAAAAAAAAAAAAAAAGATGAAAATAGAAATCCAACTCAGAAGAACCTGGATGAGAAATAACATGTAAAATACTGATAAAGCACTATGAAAACAAGTTTCTGAATATTAAAGATGCCCACCTAACCACATCATAACTATGCATTCTACGGAGAATGAAATCCTGTCAACACATCTTTTCTTATGTACCTAAAGTCTGGCTAATGTTTAATTTACATTATAACCGTAGTCCCAACCCTATACTGTAACATATCACCCCTAGTATCAGGTAGTATGAAGAATTACATCTAGGTTTCCTATACTTCATGAGCTGATATGAGAGCCTGAAAGCTAACTACTTAAAAGTATATTTAAAACTCCCTTCCTAACAAGTGAATTTTATAGCACTGACTGCTACTCAGGATATTTCTAGGAAAAGGCTCGAATAATTCACCTCCTATATTATTGTAAAATCTCCAAACAGCAGTCCTGAAAGATGTCTATGCAATTTGCAATGAAAAGAGTCTAATATTTATTAACCACCCACCATGTACACCTTATTTAATCCTCACAACAGCCATCCAAAGCGAGATTTAATTATCCTCATTTCACAGATGAAGACGCTGAGGTTCACTAAGGTTAAGTAACCCAAGGACACACAGCTAATGAGCAATGGGCTATAGTGCAGGCATTCCGCCATGCCACCTGTCTGTAAATAAGACTCATGGAAGACATACCAGGAAGATGTACCAGACACACGATGAAAGAGACAAAGTACTAAAATGTAAAGACACGGCTCTCATGACATATTCAACAGTTTCTGAAGCAGTGCAACATACTCACGATTTTAGAAATGATGAATCTTTCAAGCAAATCTGAAAAGAAAAAAGATACATTATAACTAGTATTAACATAACTGATACTATAAACTACTTTCTTATTAGCTAAATCCTGTAGTTTAAGAGTTAAGTCTCATTCATTCACTAAGTAAAAAAAGTTCTGAGCATAATTTTTAAGTAGCGCTATCCCAGAGAAAAAACATAGGCACGAATAAGTGGAAGGTCTTGCTTACAGTGACTGAGTCTTCCCTTAAAGAATAGGAACTTAAAATGAAACTGGACCCGCCCCCCCGCCCCACCATGGTGAATGGGTATTAAGGAGGGCACGTATTGCATGGAGCACTGGGTGTTATAAGCAAACAATGAATCATGGAACACTACATCAAAAACTAATGATGTGCTGTATGGTGACTAACATGACATAATAAAAAATTTTTTTTAAATAATTAAAAAAAAATGAAACTGGAACTTAGTATCCTCTACTCCCATCCCACAGTAATAGACAATGCTTCAGCCCACAAAACCCTTTCTCCTACCTGCCTGCCTCCTCCTATTCACCAGCCAAGTGCCACCTCCCTGGGGAACCTTCACCCTTGATGCACCAGGAAAGAGGGAGAGATAGCCAACTAATTTGGAACACAACTGTCCTTCACTTCCTTTGGTCATGGTCCCTCTCTGAGAATCTAATGGAAGTAGACTTTTCTCCCAGAAAAATGTATGCTCTCAAAAAAAGTTAAATTTAATTCCAGTGGATTCTACAACTTCTACAGTACCAGGTTAAGAGTTCTTGCTATAGAGAAATAAATGGATACCTCATAGGTAGTTAGCAGCACATGAAAATGTGACTCTTGCTTTAGATCTTCCTGTAGATGGGCTCTCTCCTCCTTGTCACCTGCATACGTTATACAGGAAAGACCTGGAGCAAATCTGAATCCAAGAAAAGAGGTAGATGAACACCAATGCAGAGCCAAAGGGAAGGGTGTACAGATCTGGAAAAGTACATTTCATGGAAGATCAAGGACATGAAGACTTCATGATGTCCTGCAACCAGAAAGAGTCCTGGGCCTCTGGAATCTTATCTAGAGTAAAGGTAAAACTATGAATAAGTTCCTGTGTGAAAAGGCAGAAGGGCTGGATGAATATCTACAAGGGCACTGTACTAATTCTAAAGAGAAAACTATTTTTTCCATGTTGGTTACTTCCCATGTCACTGTGAAAAAGATGGTTTCTCCTTTAGTTCAGCAAAATTTACTGAGTACTGATCTTCAAACTGCCAAATAGTAACAATAACATCCATTGAACCTTACCCCCATCAGATTCTTTCTCCTACCTACATTGCCTCAGGTCAGAGTTGTCTGGAAGAAATCAAATCACTGATTGGGACAATATGTTGCTTTATCATATTTCACATACCACCCAAAAAAAAAAAATCTTAATCAATGTAAAAAACAAAATTGCAGCTACATCTGCTCTATACCTCTCCATCTCTTCTCTCCAGTTGCTCAAAACGGACAAGGGGCAAAGAATCAGAAATGGTCCTTCATCATTTAATCTTCCTGCCAAGTAAATGAAGAGAGCAATAGTCTGGAACACACAAAAAGAAGGCAGTTTTTATCACATTTCCACATGAGAAACAACCACAAAGTTGCCATGACCTTGGAGGGAGCACAAACAAAAAAATAACATACAATCTTCCACACATCTGGAGAGTCATCCATTCCTAAAGTGAAATCATGTAAGCCTAAACAGAATTGCCAAAGGAATTTATGGTACTCAATTACATCAATAGTTCACAAGCAGTGGTGCTCAGTATTTATGTATTGAACCCTGTGATGCAAAGGGAAAAAATCAGGAAAGATTAACTGAAATAAATGAAAACAGTGCAAATAATGCACAAGATCAAGAAAACTCTGAAAACATAAGGCAAGAACATCCAAGATGTGACTACAGATGACCTACTATGTGGTGGTCTCCGCTGCTTGCCACACTCTCCAGAGGGAGGATGTTTTCCTTCCTAATTTCCTCCCTCATTTCCTTAGTGTTTTCCTTCCTTCTGCCTGCATTTATAGAGTGCCTTCTATTTTGCTAAGCACTGTTCTAAGATCAAGTATATCATAGTGAACAAAACAGACAAAACTCCTAGCTCTCCTGGAGCATACATTCTAGTGAAGAAAACAAACAATAAATAACACCTCGTAAGCATATAAAACAAAAATCTTTGTAAAGCCAAACAGGCATATTTTAGGACATCGCTGTACGTACTTTTGACTAGAAAAGTTTGTTTCTGTGATAAAGAGAGAAAATCACACTCTTTCATAAAACAAAATTTTGAGGAGCCCCCATCCCCAAATGCTGAACCATTCTGAGAAAATCTATCCTAAAGATACAATCCAAAATCCTGAAAAAGCTATATGCCCAAGGATATTCACATGGAGGTTAATACAGCACAAAAAGAGGGGACACCTGGCCATTCCTCATCTGCAGAATATTTACGTTATGATGAATTCTCTGGATGGAATATTATGTAGCCAGCAGAAGATGACTGTGAAGGATATAATAAAATGGATAATTACAGTAACAAAGTTAGATTAATAAAATACAAACTACATGAACGCTATAATGTCAACCATTTAAAACACACTGCTATTCGTTGCTTATGGATAGAGTGTTGTGGCTATAGGGTGGCAGTTATTTTTTAACGAGATTACATTAATTTTATAATGGAAATAATTTCCTTTAAAAAAAAAAAGAATTTCCTTTTTTAACTATCCATCACTTCCCAGCCCAGATTGTACCAGAGCAATCACTCAATAAGTACATACTGGAATAAAATCATTCTATTTAGCTTTTGCTGAGGATACTATTGAGAGAAAAATTTATCTTTTGTTAGGGTAAACTACATGTATCTACAAAATTAATTTGGATTTACTAGTGAATTCTACCAAACATTTACAGAAGAAACAATGCCAATTTTACACAAATTCTTTTAGAAAACCAAAGGGGACAAAAACTTCTCAATTCAGGGACGCCTGGGTGGCTCAGTCGGTTAAGCGTCTGCCTTCGGCTCAGGTCATGATCCCAGGGTCCTGGGATCGAGTCCCGCATCGGGCTCCCTGCTCCGCGGGGAGCCTGCTTCTCCCTCTGCCTCTGTCTCTCTCTCTGTCTCTCATGAATAAATAAAAAAAATAAAATCTTTAAAAAAAACAAAAAACAAAAAAACTTCTCAATTCATTCTGAGTCCATCTTTACCACAAAACCAAAACCAAAGACATTATAAGAAAAGAAAACTACAGATAAGTATCTTTCATGAACACAGATGCAAAAATTCTGAACAAAATTTTAGCAACATGGAATTTGGAGGTATAATAGTTTTAGGACACTTAAGGTAGAGCTATATGAACACTCTGGAGAAAGACAAAGGACAAGTGGAATTTGCTGGCTCTGAATGAAGTCAGAGGGATTCCAATGTGCAAAGCAAAGGAGACTGCAGGGAGGGCTCTGTACATGATCTGAGTATCTCTTAGCCTGGCTCCCAGAGAGATCCAGAAAACTTACCTTTGTTCTAGTTCCATAATTCTCAGTTCAGGAATGAACTGAGGACCCGATTTATTTGCCTGAGAAACCTGAAGGTGACAAATGAGGTCCTTGAGGGTACCATACTCAGAGGTCATTTTGTATTCCGAATAACCCCTAGATCAATGAGGTATACGTGACTTATATAAAGTAGTCTCCAACACGTGGTCAGACAGAACATTTGTAGAACTATGTGCAGAACTGCTCCAACTGGATGTTTATGTATGCCAGGTCAGACTTGCAGGGGGCAAAAGAGCCTCTAAAGGGATCAATGAGACCTTCACTCATTCTGTCTATTCACTGGTAAAAACTTTTTGGTATGGGGAAACTTATATGTCCATGGTTTCTGATCAAGTGGCCTCTGCTGTATATCCTGACTGCACTGACTTTCTTTAGTATCTTATAGATGAGTAAACCTTGTGTGACTAACCCAAGGAGTGTCTGTGTCCGGACTTTCAATCGATCCAAGCCTTCCACTGACATCTGACAACACAGGACTATGTTGGTGATCCTCCTGCCAGAATAATCCATCTCAATGCCCAAGGAGGCCACATCTGATTCTCCAGGTCTCTAGACTGTGTGCTCCCACTAGATGACCAAGGCATTTTGGAAGACAGGATTCTTCCTCTGCACTTCTCTAGCATAGCACAGAAATGAGAAGTAGCCCTACCACCCACTGAGGAAGAGAGATAAATAGATCCAGTTAACTAAACAGAAGTATCGCTAAGGAGGGCAGAGTCCATTTGATCCCAGGGAGACAGATATATTTTCATAGAGAAAAACCCTGCCCATTAATTGCAATCCTATGTCAAGTGACACAGTTAAAACCATCCCCATAACTAGGAAAATCAATTCCAAGGTCATAATCTCTTCACAAAGGTTTAGGCATTTCACCTCCTAGTACAAAAACCCACACTAGTAGGGAGCAGCTACAGATAGTGAGAGGCTGTGAAGAGGTATTTCAGCGGAGGTGAACAGCGGTCCCTCCACAGTAACATACCTGGCAGGTCTTACCCAGGCCCATCTCATCTCCCAGGATGCAGCCATTCTGACCATGGAAGCACTCGGCGAGCCAGTTGACTCCCTCCAGTTGATAAGAACGTAGATGAATCCCTAGGAATAAAAAATACAGCAAGTCTGAAAAGCAGCCATTTCAGCACTCACAAGCTATCTTCTAAGACTTCAACTAAAGAACATCACAGCTAGGAAGTTACAGAAATGTACGCATGTGCTGACTTCCAAATAACTTTTTTTTTCTTCTCAAATGACATTTTGAGCAGACTAAGTCACCATTATATCTGAAGCCCTAACAGCCTGTCCATGTCACGGGATCCACTTGCCAGATGAGAAAGTCAAGCAGGGATCTGCCTCTATACTACCTGGCTCTCGTGCCAGTGTCCATTCTAGGAAGGAGGCATCACTAATGCAACATAACCACAACCAACAACACTTGGATGGTACATGTGTCTGCAATCTTAACTGCAACCATTTAAGTTTGCCATCAGTGGTAAAGGAAAAAAATCAAGCCAAGACTAGATTAAATTCAGCTTCAACAGAGGAGCAGCACCACTAAGAACTGAAATGATGTTGCATAGAGAATGTTTAACAGTGCACAAGAACAGCAGAAAACATCTGAAATCACACTCCAGAGTGCAAGAATATCTCCAGGGGAGCTCTTATACAGGTCTGGTGCCCAGTTTTTACGTCTGCTGCCCTGGTTTTTGTGATTGCCACCCAAGGGCTTTCCCGTGATTGCCCCGCTCTGGTGGCTAGGGGGGCTTGCATTCCTGGGTCCCATAGGACTGTAACAATGGCATGCTGCCACCACAAAGCCCGAAACAGACAGCAAACTGAAACTAAGGAAAAGTCCTACTTGCTAGTCCTAGAACTTCAGCTTTGGGGCAGGCTTCCCCTTAGGCAGGATCTAGAGGCTACAAAAGTACTCTCAGAGAATATCGGCTGTAGGGTGCCATCATTGCCCTCTCACTCTGCCTCCTTGCTACAGCTCACCAGAATCTCCCAGAAAAGTGCTTATATACTTATCTGTACCCCAATTTTGTCACTGCTGCCCAAAGGACAGCATAAAATTGCCTGGCTCTGTGGGGGGGAAATGGCGGAGGAGTAGGGGACCCTATTTCAACTGGTCTCCGGAATTGAGCTGGATATCTACCAGACCACTCTGAGCACCCACGAAACCAGCCTGAGATGTAAAAAGATCTGGATCTCTACAAACAGAATATCGCAGGCAGTTGGTTTTGAGGTACGAAACGGGGCGCCCTGATTCCGCGGGCAGATATCGGAGGATAAACGGCAGCGGGAGGGTGCCTGGCCCTGGGGATCCTACACCTCCAGTGAGCGACAGCCTTGTGCGCTGTGGACAGGGCACAGACCCGCAGACCGGTAGTGGTGGGGAAAGGACTTTAGGGCAGCCCCCGGGAAGGAAACTGGAGCGGCGGTATCGCGCCTGCAAACTGCAGCCCCTGGGACGGAAACCTGGAGCAGCGGGGGCACGCGCAGGGGAACTGGGAGCGGCTGGCGGTTTTAGAAGTACAAAGGGCAGAGACATGCCCCGACCTGGAGGCAGGACTGGGAGCACTGCAGAGGGGCACACAACCCAGGAAGCTGCAGTTTATAGCAGCATGGACAGAGACAGAAACGGAGACAGTGTGGCCTGGAGAGCTCCCTGAAGAGCAGACTGCGATCTCTCTGCTCTGAAGCAGAGGGTTGGAAACGATCTCTTCTGCTCTGACTCCCTGAAGAGACACCAAAAGCCACCAGGGAACAAAAGCCCCAAAGACTGAATCCCGCTGAGCCCATCCCTGGCCACAGCGGGGCAGGCCAACACTGCCCAAACAGGGTTGCCTGAGTAACAGTGTGGCAGGCCCCTCCCCCAGAAGACAGGCTGGGAAAACAAGAGGCCAGCAACCCTAAGGTCCCAAGAAA